AAATCGATTGACGATTTATTTATGCCGAATTATTTGCCGAATTATATGGTAGAAATAGATTGACGATTTATTTATGTTATTAATATACCGAATTATTTGTTTTTTTGACAAATGTTACACAAGTGGCATTATGCCGAATAAATATTTTTCGACTAGTAAATATTTTTGATTGATTTATTTCATTTATATATAGAACCTCAAATCGATAAGACTCTTATGAATATTTAGCTGTAATTTCTTTAAATTGTAAATTTAATATATAATTAAAATTTGACAAATGTGTAAATTTTAACAAAATTGAAATTTTGATGAATATCTAATGATTTTTTGAGAAAAATTTTAACAAAATATATAGTAAAAATAGTACAAATATGGCAAATAATATTGGTATCTGACTAGAACCAAGACAAAGAAACCAGGACACTATCAGTCTTATAAAATCAGAGATTAAAACAGTTGTCTAGACAATAACCAAGAAGAAATTGATAGAAAAACATGCCCGATATATTATTAATAGGGTTCTGATTTTAAGAATAGAATATAGAACACAACATATATACCTAAGTGAGAAAACATGTAATGATCTCACAGCCATGTTTAGAAAAGCATTCAAAAACAAGGTCCTAGTCTGTGGAACAATCCCAAACAGTTGTATTCATAACAAAAGAATATACGGTCTCAAAAGTATTTGGGAAATATAGTTAGAAAGTCACATACTTGCACTCTTCTGTTAGCTTAACAATAACGAGACCTCTGGTATTGCTACCATAATCAGACTGAAACAAAGCCAAATCAAATGTTGGGAGCCAAGTAATATTTTAAGCAATCCTATCAACTTATACAAGCTAATGAAAAGAAACCTAGTAGCTATGATACTGGCTCTGGCAAAAGTATACAAGTTACTTTCCAAAGTTGGAGATGAAAAAATATATTCGATTACCAGGGAGGTATCTTATCGATCAAATCTATACTGCAAGAGGATAAAGAATATGAAAAGACCATTTTATCACTATGAAAAAATAAAATCATATTTTTAGACCAGCTTATCATATCACCACAATGACATTTAAGGAATGAAGAGCAATTCAAATCCTTTATAGCAGATGCAAGGAACCAGTTCTCTCCTAATACAAAAAAGTGAAAGAAAAAATAACAGCAAATCAAGATCTCTTATGAAACTCTCTACACGGACTTGAATGGACAGTTTATAATATACAAATTAAGGCATTCCCAATACATCCAGATAGAAGAAAGAATTTCTGGGCAGTTCAGGTTAATACTTTAACAGATGCATGGGGAAAGACAGTATTTATAAATAACAAACCTACTTCACTCCATATTAACTAGTATATGATTCTACTAATAATAATACTCATTTTTAATCAAACAGCACAGAGCAACCATTAGAAGTGGTCATGTCACAGATCTATTTTCTACCATAACTTAATTACATAATAACCTAAGAAAAAGGAAACAGATCCTTTTGTCAGGAAATCTTACAGACTGGTAGACAAATACATTTCAACAAACAATGGCTCTATTAACTTTCAACCAGCCAAAGTAGAGATTCTAGTAGAAGACTGGAATATTACACTAATAGAAGAAGCTATACAAACAGAAGAACACAAAGATGAACTCAAGAGTATCTTGAGATATAACAAAAGGAATATGGCTAATCAGCTTACTTTCTATACAGATGGCTCTTATAAAAAAAAAATAATAGATTACGAATTCGAAATGGATATAGCTGAAATCATGATAGAGAAAGACAAGATAGTTAAACAGTTCTTAGCAGGTGCATTCACATGGCTATCAGTAACCAGAGCTGAAATCTAGCTATTTTCACTGCACTGTATACAGTCCTTTGAAACACAATAGTTACAATTTATATTAACTGCAATACTGCAGTCAAAGTATAGAAATCCATCTGTTCACAAATAGAGATATTTACAAGAAGATAGACAAAAATTACTAACTGGCCACTTTGGAATAAGATCAAGAACCTAGTAAAGAAGAAAGACCTAAATCTGGAAATCCTAAAGGTCAAAGTTCACAGAACCAACAAATTTAACAATCAAGTAGACTTACTTGCCAAACAGGCCAGACAGGAGAATCCAATAACTTGGCATCAGTTACTAGAGCTAGGAAGAGTCCTCACGATAGTAGCATAGGAAGAATATATAATAGAAATTGGTACCAGAGATTTCGTCAAAATGTTCAATAAGAAAAAAACTAGACTAGACTGGACAACACAAAAATGAATCCAGGATCTTTGGATCCAAAATAATAAAATAATAGACTGGTTGACTTTTTGGAATCAGTTCAATTTAATCAATATCTTCGATACTTTTTTCAAAATCAACAAAGACAAAAGCTTTCTAACTAACTTAACTTACAATGAACTTTCAGTCCTACAAATACTTAAAAAGAGAAAACCAGATGTGTATATTACAACCACTTGCCCAGTATGTGAACTTCAAAAAAAGACACTAGGACATCTTTTTGAATGTCCAATCACTAGAGAAACTTGAAAGAACTTATGGAGGAAGGCAAACGAAAAGCTCAATAAACTTATTAGTAAAAAAATAAAAGAGAAGAAGAAGATCAATCTAAGATAAGTGACTGGATAGACAAATGGTTAGAAGAGATCCAGAAATCCAACAGGGGCCTTTTCAATACTATCTGTGGATATATGGAAGAAAGCAAGACTACCTCCTTGAAGAAGTATCTCAAAGAGCAGCTCAAGATCCCACCAGCAAATACATAAGGTATAATTGGTAAACTTTGTCAAAAGATGAGAGCAAATTTTAAAAAGGAGATCTGGAATACTTGCTGTGCCCAAGTGATAGAATGGGAAAAGAAGCAAAATATTACAGAAAAGGATAAAAGAAACAAGATGTCCAAGTCTAGACCTGATGAATAGACTGAACAGGAACAAAAAGAAATGACATTATCTCTAGAGGATTCAAGCCTAGAAGGTATCAAAGAAATAGAAGGAAAGAAGTATATGGTGATTATTAAGAATTGGATCTGTCACAGAATAAAATGGTTTGGTTTTTAACTGTAGACAGAACTTAGAATGATCTATAGTAATGCCCTGTAGACAATGGATTTATTAATTAGAGGAAATATTTCAAATTAGTAAAGGAGCGAAATATCATTCCTTTGGTTACATTTAGAGAAATAATTTTTCGATGACGAGTGAGTCAGTATATGAAAGTCACAAAAATTTGTAAATACCTAACATATATATAATAAAGACATGCCATGCTGACCTGACTGCAAGTTAAAAAAAATAAAAATATATATATATGACAAATAATATCGAATTATTATATATAGTAGAAATTGATTAATGATTTATTTTGCTGAATTATATAATAGAAATTGATTGATGATTTTATGCCGAATTATATGTCAAATTATATAGTAAAAATTGATTGATGATTTATTTATGTCATTAATATGCTAAATTATTTATTTTTTTGATGAATGTTACACAAGTGGCATTATGCCGAATAAATATTTTTCGACTAGTGTAATGCAAGTGGCTCTGGATTTAAGTAGATAAATTGCAATAGATTACTATTAACTTCTGTATAGATAGAAAAATGGTTGATATGATGTTGTGGATCTAGTTATCCCAAGAACCTCGTATCTAATGTCAGTTTCACAATTTAATTAATAAAAAATAATTTTTAATTTCATTATTCCAAGGTGCAAAACAATCTGTATTAAATTGATTTTTAAAATGTAATTTTAGTTAAATGTAATAATCGATATGTAATTCTATAGATCATTTCTTATTATTATGCAAAAAATATATCGAAGAATGATTTCTGTTAATATGAAAAATTTTCTTTATTGCTTAGCTTTATATATTAATTCAATACTTTATTTTTTATGCCATCGTAATAAACACCGTTGTTCGAGTGCTTAACTTGCAAGTGATAATTTAAATTTCAACTAATTAAATAATTGGTAATAAAACATCAATTATTTGATGTTTACTGAATTTCAAAAAAAAAAAGGAAATAAATTTATTATTTCTTACAACTTTATTGACCTTGTTGGTGTCTATAAATTATACTGATTTTGAGTCAATGATTCCTATTAAGAATTTCAAATAAAGTACAATTTTTAGTTACATGAAAAAAATAAAATAAATAAATAAATAATTTTAAATCTCACTTTCAAGATCAACAATAGATTGATTTAAAATTTTTTGTTGCTACGATTTAAAAAAAAAGAAAAAGAAAAAAGCATAGATGTAAATTCTATTAAGCTCGTAATAAATCTTTCGATATCGCATATACATACCAGTGCCGAGTCTTCCAATTGAACCCTGGCACGATCGATAACATGACTTGCGAGTGCTTTCCGTTCCAGCTCACGTAACGACGCTTCGTATCGAACCCATGAATCCAAAACGGATTTTATTTCTGCAGCCGCGGCAACTTTTTGTTTCAACTCGAAGGCTTCAGCTTCTACCTTTGCGGTTTCCTTTGTAAAAACCATCCTTAGTTAAAAAAAAAAAAAAAAAAAAAAAGGCTGATAAAATTCCGCTTTCCAAGTACAATTACCTTAGAAATCGCGAATAATGCTTTTGTAACATCAACAATGTCCCTTAGTTGACTGACTGAATTGATCCTTTCTTTCACAGCCGATTTGTGATCCTCTTGAGCTTGATCGAGAATGTTGTTAACACGCTTTTGAAATAATCATATCCAAAAAAGTTAGAACAATCGATTATCCCGAATTTTTTTATGTTACCGAGCTAGTAATAATACTTGCAGACATCTGCTCTGCGGCCCATTCGTTGAAGGGTTGTCTGGCCATACGATAAACGGCCGTCGACAATCCAGCAAAGGCAACCACCATCAAGGTCTCCTCATTGGCAATGTACAATTCTTTAGAAATCACCAAGGTTACCAACCCAGCGCCGACTGTGATATAGCCCGTCTTGGTAAGTATGGAGTCCCCGGGAAGGGAATCGATAATGCTAAGGGCCTTTTGTTTGGGGTCTAATTCTTTCTTATCTTATTTAAGAGGCATCAATTTAATATCAGGCAAATACTATTGTTCAATATTCATCGACTGCAATTTTCACGAAATACCTACTTTCTTTCGGAGAAGCCATATAATTCCTGATTCTAGATAATTCATAGTCGATACAGAAAATTCGCATTAATACTAAGATCCTCGTTTAAATGAAATAAAACTTTCTCCCGTATTGCTTGTATTGCTTCCGGGTTGGGTTAAGGAGTGTATTTTAAGCAGCATGTAAAACAACCAAAATAGTCTTTTTCCTTCAAATATAATCGTACCCAGGAAATATGGTGCGCTTAGTTGCCGCAAAAGACCTTATGGCAGGAACTGTATATAAAAAAATTGGGAACAATATGAAGTTCTCGAAGAGTGTTGACTAATTGAGTAAAGATTTTTTTTTTTTTTACCTGCGGTGAATCTGTTTCCTAGAAATCTTAAAGACATTAGAACGAATTCAAGAGCTTTACTATCCGACGAATGCCATTTTATTTTTATGAGCACATGATTGATAATCGCAAAAGTCAGAAATTTTTGTCACGTGAAAAACACACGATAGAGTTAATATAATTCATATTATATAAATAATTACGGAATCGTTATAATCTATGAACGTATTAAAGAGAAAAAAAAAAAAAAAAGAAAAAAAAAAATCCAAGGTATATTTATATTTATATATGATATAATATCGTGTACAATATATTATAAATAAAGACTACAAAAAAAAAAAAAAAAAAAAAAGAAATTTCATATACCGAATACATATTTCCGAAAACTTATTTTACCACCGTTACTCAATCTCCAGCTGAACAAATATAATAATGAGAATTAAAAATGTTTTATCATCCTGGAAGTATTGATAGGGGGATGAGTAATAGGGAAACTCGATCGAAATCGAATTTAATACTTGGAAACCAACGTAAATTCTCTACTATAGACAACGACATATTTATAAAGTTGGGATAGACATATATATATATATTGCACATAAACTTCATAGCCCATCCGGCAATGAATCAACAGGCGACTAAATCATATCTATATCATGCTAATACGAGTATTTTTGTTTGCTAAATGAATGAGAGAGCGTGGGCTGAGGTTAGTAAAGTTTTCATGGTCGAATTCATCAGAGCGAATTGAGATTTAAATGACGAACCGAATTTATCATTGTGATTAAAACTTCATTTATTCTCTCTATTTTGCGGACACAATCTTCTCAGCGTTCGCCACTTTCTGTCTCAACTTATCCTTGTCGTACATTGAATGAGCCAGCTCGCGGAGATCGTCGGTATCCAGAAGATTGATGGTGACCTTGCTCGCGATAGCGCTCTTAAGACCAAGATCCTAAGGGTAGATATAATAATGAGGTTATTGTAAACTTTTAAATCTATTTATTCTGAAACCCTTCATTACCTTGACCTTCGGGAACAAACGGCTACCCAGCCTTTGCTTCTGTTCGTGAATAGGTTTGTTCTTCAGACTTTCAATAAATTGCTCGGCCTCTTCGTAGGCAGCACTACGGACACCATTGGGAGTCTCTGATATGGCGACCTTAGTGGTCTGAGAGTGACTGGATTCTGACGATGGGGCAGGGACCGTGACCATATCAGCAGGAACCAGCACCTTTGGAACAGTGTCGTCTTCATTAACGGCCGCTAATGCCTGATTAGCTTCCATGATTTTTTTGGTAAGATATTCAGGATTAAAGTAGCACGTTGTCCGTTCTTTTTGGCTCAAGCCCATGATGAGCTCGAGGATTTCATCTGCATTACGAGGGCAAAGTTTACTGATCGCCTTGAAGAATTTTTCGCGTTGTGGAACCTGTTGTTGGAAACCAGAATTGTTACTGATACTTTGAACCGCGGCAACAATGGATTCCTCGGAACCACGACGCTTCTTCTCTTGCTGCAGATGGTGCCTAGCATCGGTAATCTACGGTGACGCGGAAAGTCAAATCTTTGAAACGATCTTAAAAAAAAACACATAGATATTTCTATTTGCATTGGAGGAGCATTACCTTTTGTTGCAGGGAGGCAGGATCCTTGAGGACGTGCAAAACATCATCGGTCTTCATAGTTAACAAGTGATCGATGATTGGATTGACTTCCTCAGGAGATATGCCAGAAATATTTTTAAATCGTTTCTGTAGTTCTGACATTAGAACTTCTCTGCGAGCCTTTGGTGCTAACCCGGCAAGGTCTTCTCGACCAAATTCGTTAAAGGCGTTTATGGCGTATAAATCAGAATTACGCCTGGAGGGAGCTCGACTCTCAGAGGGAGACGTGGGACTACTGCTGAACTGAGTTGCCAGTTTGGCTTCACGCAATTTCTTGGGTTCGTGAAGCCTGACGACAATTTGTTTGTTTCCCAGGGTTTTTCCGTGCATGGACGCTTTGGCTCTATCCGCTTCATCAGCCGTGGTGTAGCTGACGAAGCCGAAGCCCTTCGAATTACCGGTGTCCTGATCTCTCATCACGCGGGCGCTAATGATCCGACCGAATCGACGAAAGTGGTTGAAAAGGTCGCTGCTAGAGATGTTGGCATCGAGATTTTTGATGAACAAATTACACGGGTCAACGATCGGACCTTCTGGACCCGGAGATAATGGTATTCCTATATTGTTTAAGTTATTTGCCGGCGGGGATAATGAACCCTAAGTCCATTTAAAGTGCATGAATATGGATGGTGTCATGGTTTCTTGTGATTTCATAAATTATTGAATATTATAATTTGAAACTTACAACACCGGGCATAGTGAGACTTGTAAGGTTTGCGCGAGGGGTCGTTTTATTTTGTTTGTTTGGATAAGGCATAACGGCGCTATTTTAGAAGGGATGATGTCAAAAAAATGGTCTGTGTCTGCAAATGTTAAAGACTATTGCCCGCCCACTTACATGTTCTTGCCCTCGATCGAATAATAATTCTGGAAAGGAAAGAAATTTATAATGGATGGTATAGTGATGATAAAACAACAATGATAAGCAGCCATAATGAAATGATATATACCAACGATTCAAGGGCTCGGTTGGCGTCCTCTTGCCTAAAGAATTGAACCAAGGCATATCCCTTATATTTCTGTTCGTTATATTGCATTCTAGTGGAAAATAAAGGCCCATATGGACGGAAGAGATTGTAGAGAATGAAGTCTGAGGTGTTTAAAGGCCAATGCTTAACTTGCAAGATGTGTGCCTTCGATGTAGGTTCATTGGGGTTGGTGGGTTCAGTGATTCGTAATTTTAAATAAGTATTATAAGCATCCAACTTGATGTTGTTATAGATAGCGAATGCCTTTTCCGCTAGGATTTGCGTGATTTCGATTAGAAACTGAGAACAAGATTCATTTGCCACGAAAAAATTTCAAAAGTTTGATCACGCGTAATCATACATACCATTTTCTATGGACGAAAAATGAATGATACCATTTAAGTTGGTATTCCCATTTCCAGGCTGACGATGGATGTCGACTCTTTTTTTTTAGAAAAGGTAATGAATGAGCAATAATAAAAACAATGATAACAAAAAATTTATTAAAAAGAGCATCCTAAATGTTTGCTTAAAAAAAGGTTCACCAGGACGGTTCCTTACCTTATGGGTTCGACATCCCTCAATATGTTCTTCAGTTCATCTTCAATAACACTGAAGTGCAACTCACTTACATAGAGTTTAGGTGCTTCCAGATACGAGTTCATTGAGAAGTCAGTTTGGTTAGCTGGCATCTTAGAGGTGGTGGTTGTTTGCTTATTAAATATGTTTTCCGTTGTCATTCCCAACTATATATTACTAAATCATAAATCTTCCTTTTAGTTATCAAGCATAATTGTGACAAAAAATTTGATGTTGAAGAAACTGCGCAACTCGCGGCATGAAAACCACATATATATATATGTATGTATGTATAATCGATTGGACGGAACGCCCGTGTTGTTTGTCATAATGCCTATGCTTCATTAAGACAGGACTATGAATAAATGAGTTGTGACGTATAATAACAATAATAACGAATCCTCAATACCAAATATGCCGGCATCGCAGAAGGAACGTAGCACGATTACGCAACGTAACGGTGAAAGGAGCTGTGTAACGTTTTACGCATATCCTTCCTATCCTTTCGGGGAGTAAGGTATTTTCACGCACAAAGAAAAGAAAATGCACGCTTTTTCTTAAATATTACGAGTCGGACTTTTTACATCGGTAAATGCCTCATTTACGGCTGTTTCTGGAATCCATAATTACTATAAACGAAATTCGATAGATGGGAAAAGATAAAAGCGGTTCTGCATGCGGAGTCAATGGATACTTTTTTTTTTTTTTTTTATTACCTAAACCCAAATTCTGGCCGGGATCGACTCTCCCCGAGTTAAAATAAAGGCATAAAGGCACGGCGTAATTCTAGCCAAAAGGAAACGCCAAATCTCAACCAATCATTACAAAATAAAATGTCAATGATATGCACACACCATATACAATATATGTATATAATCTCCCTTTTATACACCGAGTGGATCAGAAGATGACAACCGCGGAACTTTACCGACGGCTTTTTCTGCCGCACTATATAGTGAATTTTTTCTACATACTACCATTTTTTTTCATTCGCTATGTTCACCCCTTGGACTCCTACTTCCTTGATCTGTCTCTGGAGGTAGTTGGTTAAAAAAAAAAAAAAAAAGGTCTCAGTGCTGCTTTATTATCTTGTGTGCATTAACCTGTGTTTCTCTTGAAGCCACCGGAAATAAAGACTTACCTGGTGTTCGCATGCCTTTTACTGCTGAAGTATCGATCCACGAACAGCGCTGAAGAATTCTTGTCTATACTTTTTTTGTATGGGAAGTTGTTGAACGTGTTGATGTTTTATTGGTATGGTAAGACGACCTGGGCGATCACATATGCCATTATGTGGGGTGGTAAGTTTCCGTCATAAGGATGCGAGTTTCCGAAGCAAACTTCTCTCAACGCAATTTGATTTGTTAGCCTTGTTCATCGTCCTTCCACAACCGACGTACAGAGGGAGTACAAAGATAGTGGAATTAACTCCGGAAGATCTAGACAATATTCAAGGAAATAATTTCCAGGTTCCCAAAATTGTCGAGCTTGAAGATGACGAAGTTAAGGACAAAGGGAAAACAAAAGAGGACCGATATTGGGTGATCTTCTTTTATGTCACGTGGAGTAACGTATGTCGGAATTTCGAATCCACGGTCGCAAAGGCGTCGTTGAAGTAGGTCGCAGGATTTTTTAATTAGCCCATGCGTTAAGGTAATCGGCAAAGTGAAAGACGGTGCCTTTGAACTATAGATATACGACATCGAACATACATTTCGGAAAGATCGATCTGGAAACGTCACCGAAGCTAGCGGAAGATTACAACATCTCTTTGTCACCAACAAGTTTGGATCTCCCAACCTTGATATTATTTAAGAATGGAAAGGAGAATGGGAGATTACCTCAGAAGGTTCGAGATGGCACCGATGCGGATCTAGATAGAATAAAGAGCCAAACTCTGCGAAGTGCCAAGGTCACGTGGGACCGTTTGGGATGGGATCGGAGCATGGTAAAAAAAAAGAAGAAACGATCAATTGGTTCCAAATAATCAAAGATCAAATCTTAGTAATCAACATTGTTTCGTTTTCGTAGGAATCGATAGTCTCCGCATTTAAACTTGACACCTTGCACAAGTCGACATAAAGATTTTTTGTTTATTTAACCGTAATATTGTGTAATCACTTTTTTTTTCTCTCTCTTTTTTTTTTTTTATATAATTTAAAAAAGCAATTTAGATGTTGCACGAGCCGTAACAAAAGAAATCTGTATCACGTATAGTCAATCGTTGGAAACGATTCTGTCAAAATCGTCCTTTTTTCATTTTGGAATCCTAAAATTCAGATCGAAAGAAGAAAACAATAATAATTATAATGATAATTTTGTTGAGGATGGTAGATTTCGTTACAGAGATATAAAAAAAAAAGATATATATATATATATTTGACATACGTGGAAACTTCAATCAAGATGCTTTGGAATTTGACACGAGCTCATGATTATGATTAAAATTCGTGGAAATGACTTCCCACAAACCGGAGACTCCATTGGCCGAAGCCCGAATCAGAAATGGGCATCGACATCTTTGGGATAGACGGTTACGAGTTGGTCGTTCACCAACTTTCTTTTTGCATGAAATTCCACTACGCGAACACACGATCTCTCTCCACCGAACGTCACCCTCTCGATTTCTTTTCAGTTTATGTAGTCGCATCGTAAAACCCTGACGCATCGCATATTCTTGTACTGCCACCACGAAATCTGTATGACTGCTGAACTTTGAGCCCTGTTGTAAGAAGTCCGACGGTGTGAAATCAACATCACTTGAAACAACGGGTACTGCGATTGGCAGGGAATTTTGGACAAGGCATGACGTCGACAAAGGGTCTTGCATAATGGATATCGTGTCGTTTAATTGTGGTTCGGACAATTCTTCTATCTTGGTCGATTCGTTTTGCTTATTTCCAAGATCGTTCATCTTTACAAACAAATGTGCAAGATAATCCGTAATTATCGCGCGCTTTATATCATCATGCAGAAGTGGCTTTGTGCAACCCTATGTGCTGATCGTTGACACGTGATGCGTTGCCCAACAAGGAGACGTATTTAATTAGACCCCCAAAATTTGAGGGAAAAAAAACTCTTTCGTTAATGCAACTTGAAAATTACGCATAATACGTTAACATATCAACAACCATTTCCTAAAAGAGCTCATAGAAATCATGGTACTTGGTAAAGTTGTCCATTTCGCGGTGGACGCGGTCTTGGTGTCTGCGGTCTTGGCCGGCATTAAACGTTCGAGCGGTTTGTCGTGAGTGTTGCAGAATTTTTACTGACGCACCCTCGCCATTCTCATTTCTTACTAGCTTTCATGTGTGCATGCGTTCAGACTTGTTACAAGTAACATTGAAAATAAAGATCTTCGAATGGCTGCCGACAAGTTTCTCGACGTTGGTGAATGGGTGGTGGACCAAGGTATACTTGTCATGAGAACTTCAGAATACTTCGAACGAAAAGGGCGAGTCGACACGAGACCGGTAGAATTAAAATGAAATTCATGTAGATAGTATGTTGGTGATGCTAGCAATAGTAATGACAGCGATAATAGTGCGAGAATCCAGAGGTCTGTGCGAAAAAATGAAAAAAAAAAAAAAGGAAATTCCCACGCACGTCGCGATTAACGATTTGTGTGTTTTTTAGGCCTCAAAAGGATGGGTGCACGTTAATGTGAAACAAACGAAAAGAAAAAAAAAAAAAAAAAAAAAATTGAAGAAATCACAACCTGCTGCATAAGAAAAGGAATCATTGGATTCGTTTATTATACGTCTGGTGGATTTAAACCGAGGCTAGAAGAAAGAATGAAAAAATGACATCCAATATTTATCAATTGTAATCCAGAGTAACCATAAATCTCCTAATAAAATAAATCATTTTTCGTTTGGAGGCAACAATTCAGACTTGTAAGTATTTTCCTCCAGCAACTTTTCGACCTCTGCCTTTATGTAGTCAACTCTGGAGGCTTCAACAAACAGATGGGTCTCGTCCAGATCTTCGATGATGAACTTTGTTCTTTCTTTTTCGTTAAGTTTGTAAATGACCTGTTTTACGGTCGGGTCACTTTTTTTAATGCAGCATAAAAAAGAAAGTTTATACATTATCCTTTCGAGACTTGACATAATATAGATTTTTTGCTCGTAAATACCATTTCAAGATGACGCCTTAATTAAATGTCGGTTCAACATGAAAAATATTAGTTAACCTCGATGGCTCCGACGCTGAACGCAAAGTTTGTAAATTACCTTTTACAACTTTAACCATTATGGGAATTTACGTTGTTATACCACTGATTCCTGATGTTTATACGCGCGCACACATGCGCTCGAAAAGTTGTTCGGATCGACGAGAGGTGACCGGCAGGCCTTGCAGTCCTTGCAATATAAACAATACAAACCTATGAACGGCAGCCTGCCGACCATAGGGAGTCGTGTTACAGTCAATTCAACCAATCAACCAATCAGATCGAGTAATTATTTTGCTTTAATACATAATAATTTCTAAAATTATTTGCATGTTTATAATAGTAAAAAAGAAAATCTTGTCGAGGTATACTACATGATTGTGAGTGTGAAATTGCATCTCTCTTTTTGACTATCTGTTATGAAATATGTATATCGCAACTTATATAAAATTGAGTATTATTATAATTTAATCTTGATCTAACTTTTTTTTTTTTTTTTTTTTTTTCTAAAAAATAATTCTCACTCGAGATTGCATATCGAATTACTGTCGCTCGTTTTTGCATATAAAAAAATTAAGGGATAAAAATTATTATTATTAAAATGCTTATTCAACTTCATCTGGATTTCGCAGCCCACATTACACCCACGCCAATAGCAACACCTATGGTAAGGAACCCTCCGATAGTTGCCGCCTTTGCCGCATCTGAATTCGGTAACTTTTGTGATGATTGACGCGGAGAGGGTGGGTACGATAAAAATTCTATTCCATCGTTTTTCTCCGGTTGCTTGATGTCGTATGATCCTTCATCCGACTTCACCTCAACAAATAACCGAACCATCGGTGAATTCTGTGATCTAGCCAACTCCATGGCATTCGAAAGATCATCATCCGAAGATAGCATGATCTTATCATTCTCATCATCCACATAGCTGACCACGATTTCAGAATCTTTGCCTATCTTCATCTTTGATCGAACTTGATCGCACAATTCCGAAAAGTTTTGGGTGCTGGATGTGAATCGGTGTGACTCCTTCGACCTCTCGTACTTACACTTATAGATGAACGCACCTTCTTCCAGTTTGGAGACGCGGGAGTTTCTTCTGGATGGGCTGGATGGAATCGTATTCTCAGTCGAAGGTGGGGTTGTGATGGATGTCGACGGTGCCCTCCGTCTAATTATCGGATTTTCAACTAAACCGGTGACCATCAAACTCTCATTCTGAGGAGACTCCGATGTTGAACCGTCGGATTTGGGCTCTTCGAATCTTGGCTCCTCGGGGGACATCGAATTCCAGAATTTATTCCAAACGACTCCATCCTCAACTTGTTCGCCATTCAACGATTTCAACTGAGATTAGGGAAGAAGGTAGGATCGATAAACCACAATTACGTAAATGATGAACCAATTACCACAAAGGAAAAGTGATACAAACGGTATTCAACGTAGAATAAGTGAGTTGCAAAATATCAACCATTCCAACTACAATTTTTTTGCTATTAATTAAAGGCAAGTGTTGATAGCGCTCATCTATTAAGGTAAAGTGGATGAAGCGGTTCCCGTTAAAATAAGAATCTTCGATGTTCGCACGAGCAGCTTCTATTTTTTTATACCTTGCATTTGGCGAAGAGCCTGCAAAATTGTGGTATCCGTCGAGACCATATCCGGATTCGGTGTCATCACCCTTATCGTTGAAGTATTTGATGGTTCAAAGTTTTGTCCATATATCCTACACATATTAAACCAATTCAAAAACCCATTAAATAAAATCAATTGATTCCCATCTCTATGCTGCGGGAAAAGATATCAATACAAACTTTCTACCTAGTTACTATATCCTTGGTTGTAAAGATTCCAACCGGTTTGCTATCATCCACTACTAAGACGGCCGTTTGATGATTATCCTTCATAGTTCGAGCAGCTTCTCGTACACTGGCTTTTATGGAGACCTCGGGAAGAACCTTTGACGAATCCATCACGGAACTCAACCGAGGGAAGCAAAGGTGTTCCTTGATAGCCGCTGCCATGGTCGAAAAATCAATCTTATTTAGAGCATCCTTGTCCGAGACATCATCCAACACTGCAAATAACTGCTTGGTCGTCGCGTCCGCCTTTTCAAGTCGGGCAAGAGCATGAAGCAAACATTCGGTAATATCAAGTAGACCTATGATATCACCGGAATCATCAAGAATTGGCTTATCAATTAAAAAAAAAAAAAAGATTCTAATTAATATAAAAGCGGAAAATCCATTGATGATTTATCAAGTTGATTCACGAATTCACCTACCAAATGTCGAAATCCACCTGATACCATGCGATTTAGAGCCTCCGTTGCATTTGATGATGCAGTGACACAATCGGGATCCCTTGTCATTATCTCCGATAGAGCTGTTGCATTCGGATTGAGACCTTCGGCGCACACCCTAAAAGACAAGTCTTTGTCTGTGACGATCCCTATCAACCTATCACCTTCATCCACCACGAGCACCGCCGTTGCTCTAATGATTACATAATAAAAATAAATTTGAATAGAGAATAATCTCAAGATTTTAAAATAACGGTGATAATAACCTATTTACGGCCATCAGACGTGCTGCATCCATCACATTCGCCGTCTCTGCGTAATAAGTTGCAAATAAACATAAATATTGATTAGAACTTGGTCATCCATTTGATTCCTTTCCCCTGGATCAGATCGTGAGTCACGCGCCAATATTCCCTTTCTTTCTTTCTTTTTTTTTTTTTTTTTGAAGAAAGACAACCAATTCTCAGGTTATAAGAACGCATTCACCGCACCAGTCACACACACACACACACACGAGAGATCGGCATGTGAAACGGCTAAAGGGACCACGCTTTTTGGGCCCAAGTGAAAAAATTCTCACCTAGTAAAGTAATTGCTGGAGAAGGTCTCAAGGTTCCAAGTGAACCAGCTACTCTGGGTATCCTATCGAGTGCCCGCCTCCCCTGAAGTCGATTGGTCCTGTTGAGGTCATGCTCTACCTTCCTTCTGATTCGCTCGTCTTTTTCTGCCTGCCTCTTCCTTGCGATGTCTTGGGAGTTACTCAGGTTTATCGAGTCCGGGTCGCTATTCCTTGTTTCGTTACTAGTACGTGGTTGCCGACCGGAAGGGGCCCTCAAAGAAGTGGACATTTATAATAGATATCGGGTGGTTGAAAAGGGAGTTCAGAGTTATTTTTTTTTCTATGTAAAAAATGAGTGAAATGTGGTATGGTTTTTTTTATTCAACGGGTGTGAAATATAAAGCCCGACGGAAAAAACGAGAAACACTTTAGATAAAATAACGGCGCATGATTACAATATGATTTACACATTGAAACAACTTTATATGGTTCCATGCAAGGATCACACCCACATCAGGAATTCCTTATATTAAGATATGTGTAAGTAGTACTTTGTGCGTGTGTGGGTGCGTGTATTACAACATCGTGCATTCCTAGATGTTTAGAATTGAATCATTATCGTTGTAAAATTGTTCATGTTCCTATGTTCCCCGCTTAGTAATAATGCCACAGATTTTTAGGACATATTTCAGCTCAATAATAGCATTTTTATAATTACTCAATGAAAACAATGAACAATGTGGCACACTATATTATTATCGAGTTGTTTTTTTTTTATGTAAATTAATTATTACAAAGTTAATGAATCGTTTTGATTGGCTAGAAAATAATTCAGATCCAATGTTGCGTAAATATGACGCGAAATTTTGTTGTACACCTTGGTGAAGATGTCCTTTCGCGCTAGCCAGTTCCTGTTGTCCGCCAATCCAAATTTCGCCAAACTCTACGAAGAGTTGACCGCACAATATCTGGCTCCCGACGGAACGACGAAAGAACCGACACGCGAATTGGATCAAGCAACGTTACATTCATTCATCTCTCTTCTTATACATGACGCGTATCCTCTTTATAATAAGATACTCTAATTTCACCAGGAGGCTTACCTAGAAAATAAGACCTTCTACTTTGAAACTTTGGCTTTGTATAATGCGGTTCAACAAGTAATTCTGCAAAAGGAGTTGAGAAAGGATAAAATTTCCGACTCCCAGAGAAAGGTTATTTATTCTACACGACCTATCGCTCGCGATTTGTCTTCTTATTTGTCTTCCTAAACTTTATACCATTATCATTTTGAATTTAGGCCTTGGAAGCTACGAGGAACGTTTTATCTTTTGCGGAAACAAAGCAATATCTTGGTTTTCGCGCTAAGGACCCCTCGATGAAAAATGAGAATCCTGCATTGCTTGGATTAACGGAGGAAAAATTGAAAGAATTGGTTGAAAAAGAGCTAGAAGAGTTAAATGTTTGTAGATATGATCTTGCGCATCGAAATTGCAGACGGATTTAATAACTTTCTACCCGGATTTTCAGACATCCAAAGAATATATTTTAACTTCGATTGAAAACAAATTAAAAAAGCAATGTGAAGAGATCGCAAAATTTTACTACATCGAAGAAGGTGGAAAGTTTCTTTCTAATTGGTCTTACATTATATTGAGCACACAGGCCGCCACTCACATGAAAAAGTTTCAATACCAGAATCAAATCCCAAACTGTTGTTCGCCAAGGCGATCCAGTTGAATAAGAAATTAAGTCAGCGTGTTGATAATCTGCGACTCTCCAAAATCCATGCAATCACAAGCAAAAGCTTGTTGGGCGAGCAAATAGTTAACTATATGAATGTAACGTATTATATTTCCGTGGTAGTAATTGAACGAATGTGATCATGATTTCTAATGTTACCAAACCCCAGGTAATGAAAGAAATTTTATCCAACTCATGGAGTATCCTTGAAGAATTTAAGCTTCAATACGAATTCAAAAAGAATCGAGTTTTTTGTGACTATTTTTCGGGCATTGTAAAGTCGATGGTTTTAAAGTTCAGGTATAAAATCACGATATTTAGGAATTAAGTAAGTTGGATTAAAGTGATCGTTTACGATGCATCTAATAACACAGGGTTCTTCGTTTCACCGCATTGTTGTCCATTTATGACAAAGACACCGTGGAGGGACTCGAGATGATCAGGTAAATAGATTAGCTCACTACTGTAAGTTAATCAATCACCGATTAATGAAAATCTTCAATAAGGGATAATCTGTTAAACGAGGAGATAAAGAAGCGTAAGGAATTAGATGCACTGGAATCAGAACTTTCGAAATATCAGATATGCGACGAATTTGAATCAATTGTACAGATCTACGCCGAGGTGAATAAAGAGATCGAAAAGGTGAAGGATGACATTCAACGAATGAATGAGCAGTCAATGGCGTAAAAAGTCGGCATTGTGAGAAAGAGTAGCGGTATCTATTTCAATCATAATTAAAAATATACAGATCCAACACACATCGCATGTAAATTCGGTTCTTTCTATTCCCTAAATATGTTGTCGTTTGTAGAGTATTATTTAGATGAAAAAAAATCGCGGCATAAATTTATTTGGTCATCTAAGAACTGCACGGATATATACACTAGGTTACTAACCGATGATCTTTCCTTAATAACAAGCCATATATCGTTATGCATAATATTACAATAGATACTGTATACTGTATGATATTTGAATGTGTCATATAAATTATCGTTATTTATATATGCTAAATACATATCCCCCTCCAATGAGACTTTGACATGCGAGGTTTACGACGAACGTGTCAATAGTATATCAGGTTTAGTATCATTGATAATATTGATATACTGTATCATGTGGTTTTAAATGATTAATAAATTAATCTGATTGGTCTGATTACGGGTATAGAATTATCTTTAAAAAATTTTTTTTTATTAATTATCATATAATTTTTAATAAAAAATATTTAAAAAGAAAATTATCGATTTGCTAAAATTCAAGTTTATAATATATATTAATTCACAAAAATCTTGTATCAAGAATAATCAATATTTAAAGGTAATCAGTCAAAATTAAAATTAATACTCTATAAAATATATATTTTTAATTATATTTTTAATTTAATAAAAGAATTAAAACAGTTGATAAGAGAAAAAAATAAAATTTTTCATTGCAATAAACCTTTATAAAAATTTGTTTCAAAAATAAAAAGATCTTCAAATACTTCATAATTGATTTTTTATTAAAAAAAAAAAACTTTTTTATTATTGATAATAAATAAGGATATTATATAACTTTTTTTTATTATAAAAAGTTAAGCTTTTAATTAAAAAATTTGTAAACAAAAAAAAAGATATAATAATACTTTTAAAAATTCTTTTCAAATTTATTTTAAGAATAGTAATAAGATTTTATTAGTTAAGAAGTTTAAAAAATTTTAACAAATATCTTTTTTATATATGTTCAAAAAATTAATAAAAAAAATTTTTTTTTTATTAAGACCTTGATTTTATTTATATTTTTGTTTAATATATTAATCCAAAATTTTATTATTGTTATTTTTCTAAAACAAAACAAATTAATTTTAAAATCTTTTTTATAAAAATTTTTTTACATTTAAAAATTCAAAAAATTATTTTTTTATCTTTTTTTTTTTTTTAATCTGCAATCATACCACTTTGGCATATCTTTATTAAGATATTGAGAAATACCTAAATATTTTATAGACTTTCATAAAATGACTAACTTATTATTATACATTATTAGTTAAAGGACTATATTACTTAAAAAATATGAGAAGTTCACTAAATTAGTTCAAACTAAACAAAACTAAGTCTAAACTAGATACTCTAAGTCAGATTTAGGGAACAATATCTTGCTCTCTTAGTAACTTGGCAATAGTGTTTCTAAGTTAATCAAGATCATTGTCAACAGTTTATCACTGTTGCTTATTCCAAAAAACAATGAATTGTTAAAGTTGATATTAGGAAAAAGGAAAGAGAAAATATAATTCAAAGCCCTCTAAAAGGTTTTTGCTTCATTTCACAGTTTCCTCTTGAAAGGGGTTTGCCTAATTGAGATATTCTCTAAGCTTCATGATATTTGAGAAATTTAGTCATTCCTGAAAATGACTTTAAGAAGAATGTTTGAGGAACTTATCCTTCTGCTAATGTATGGATTCATTTATCACCAATGAAACCAGTGCTATATTATAAAAGAGTTAGCCTAACCAGAATAAAGAAATCTTTTCAAGAACTTTGCCTGATCAAGATAGAAGCTTAGAGACCTCAACTTTTATTCAAGAAAGCTTTTTTACTATCTAAGGAACTTAATAAGAGATAGGAGTTAAATCTTCTATTTCTACCTGTCACTTGTCTTTCAATATTATAATTATTTTCTAGAAATTGAACATACATAATTGGAGGGGACACTTTTTCTAGAACTTTCTTTTCTACATTATCAATGATACATCAGACATGTGAGTGAATTAATAGAAATTTGTTTACATTCCAAAAACTGACATATTTCATGTCAATCAATTATCTTTAATGAGGATTTGTGCTATCCAAAATTCAGAATCAAACTGTGATAAGCAAAATTTTCCAGAAAACCATAAACATGTGAGCTCTAAAAGGGTCAAGACAATTAAAAAGGGAGAAAATAAGTCTTTTTACTGCAGAAACCTCTATAAACCTCTCGCTTCAAAGGTTAGAAAAACCTTCAGGTACTTTATAATCAGTTCTTTTTCCTTTGGAAACTTTCTTGCTGTTGGTATTAAAGATACTACTGGGTCACTAGAAGTCAGGTTTTTGAGTGAAGAGATTTGTAAACAATAGAAAAAGGATAAAAGTAACTCTTGAAGTCATACTTCAAGTTATTTTAAGAAAAATGTTAAGACTTTATTAGCAAGGAAGTATAAAAACTTCTTACAAATATCTTTTTTGCATGTGATCAGAGGATCAGTAGAAAAATTATTAATAATTTACTAAAATACTTAATAATATTAAAAAATATAATAAATTTTATTTTTTTTTTTTTAATGAACTTATGTCTAATCTTTATTAGTTTTCAAATTACAATTATACAATTGTACAAATACATATACAGAATGTATATTCAGAAAATAAATAAAGAATTTGATAAGTTAAAACTATTTCAAAACTTATTGCTCTCTTTTTATTAAAAGAAACCAACATCCCATTGAGTGTACTAGTGTTATTAAAAAAAAATTAACAGAAAATTAAAAAGAACAGTTATATGCTATATTGAAAGGGTAACTATAATATCTTTTAATAAATACCTATCCTGTTTTCTAGATCCCCTTCTTTATAGTGATCTAGATGAGCTTCTACTAAGTCTTTACAGAAATAAAGTAGAAACAGAAAGGAAGACTTTATGGTTTTAAAACTTATGGAGAAAAAATAATTAGAAAGGCACAGATAATATATTGGTATCCACATAAATGACTTGAAAATTTCCCTATATATTGTCAATTAAACCTATTCCTATCTAAATATAAATATACTTAGCTATCTGTTCAATGTATTTCAAATTAATTTCTTATAGAAAAATTGCATTTAGCCTCACAGTTGATATATTCTGCTGATGGCCATTAATATTAATGATTAACTAGGATCTCTCAGATTATTCAGCTGGCTCACATGTTACTGCTAACATTTTTTAGTTCAAGTTTCAATTAATGTAATTGTATTAACCTTCCAGTCATTCAGCTTGGAGTTTTTTGAAAATATAATAAAAATTTCTTGATTTACTATACACATTAGCTTTACCACTGAGGGTTTCTAGTCATTTTCTTTACTTTTTCTAGTTAGACTTTTCTGAACAATAGAAATAGAAACCTATTTGGCATACAATCAAGAGTAGGTGGCTCTGATTTTTAAAAAGTTTATTGAGTTCTTATAATTTTTACCATGGTTGGATAGACTTTTTCTTATATCCAAAGATATATCAGTAGTATGCTTTGTATCCACTTATATCAGATAGCATAACTTATAATGAAGCCCAAGTTTTTATAGAGCTAAGGAAATGCATTTAGATATGTATAATGGTTAATAGGAACTTGTTTATTAATTTTATTCAACATGTTTCATATCAGCCAATCAGGATTGGTAAGATTTATGTTACCCAAAATTTTAGAATTGAGCTGGAATAGGCAAAATTCCTCAAAAAAAGCTATAAAAAAGGTAGCTCTAAGAGGCTACAACATCAGTCAAAAAGTAGAAAAGTAAGTTCTTTGACTGGAACATAATCTCTATTATCTTCACTATAGCTGAGAGGTGAGAAGTACTTCACTATTGGTCCTTTTTTCTTTAGGAACTTTCTTACTATTGATAATAAAGATGGGAGCTGAATTTTGAAAACCATAAGAGTTTAGTTTGTTTAAAGGAAATTATAAACAAAAGAGAGAAGAATTGAGAGAGTTTTGATAAAACTCTTTGAGTTAATTTAAAAAAAATAGTAAGATTCCATTAGCAATGAAATATTAAAACTTCTTGCAAATATATTTTTTGTATATGATCAGAGAATCAGTGGAAAAGAAGATTTAAAAAAAATATAATATAAACTTTAGGATTATATAATAATTATAAAGATTTTTTATAATTAATTTGTAATAAGTTTACTTAAGCTATTTAAAAAAATATACAATAAATTTATACTTGAAAGTCAAATAATAAACTTTAAAAGGGTTTTAAAATCTATAAATATTTTGATTAATTAAATATTTTTTCTTAAAAACTAAAGAATATTATCAATTAAGATTTTTAAATAATTAAGAATTTATATATATATATATTTTTTTAAAACCCTCAGTCAGACTAAGTACATGTGCTTTATTAAACATGTGTATACTTTACATTGGAGAATGTATTGCTAAAGCTAAGACTCTACCTAACTCACTCGTCTCTATTTTAAAAAATTATTAAAACTCTAAGTGCAACTTCGGGAGTGATTTATCACTCTATTAACAGTTCAGGTAAAGACCCTTCCAACT